ATGAAGTCTTTACCAAAGTCTGGATATCTCAGTATTGGGTCATTGGTCAAAAGGGTTTTGCATTTCTCAAAACTATTAACGTACTCGGGGTCAAAAGTAATCTTTTTTCCTTTCTTCAGACATACTGTCAGGGGCTTTGTGATGCGGGCGAAGTCGGGAATGAATTTTCGGTAGTAACCGAGAAGTCCAAGGAATTGTTTGATTTCTTTTGGGGTTTTTGGTATAGGGTATTTCTGAATAGCCTTTATCTTTTCAGGGTTAGGTTTGATTCCTTCGCTGCTGATGACATGACCAAGATAGGCGGTCTCTAATTTGAGGAATTCTGACTTATCTAACTGAATTTTGAAATTAGACTCTCGCAGCCTCTGAAATACTTTTTCAAGATTTGTCATGTGTTCTTGTAAGGATGTGCTAAAAACGATGATGTCATCAAGATAAACTAGACAGATGACGTTCTGAAGCCCTTTTAACACATTGTCCATGACACGTTGGAATGTTGAGGGTGAATTTTTAAGTCCCATTGGCATCCTTAAAAATTCGAAGTGTCCGTGTTCGACATTAAAAGCTGTTTTAGGAATGTCGGGGGGATTCATCTCCACCTGGTAGAAACCGGATGCAAGGTCAAGTGTGGTGAAGTACTGACACTTGCCTAATTTGTCAAGGACGTCGGAGATGTTGGGAATAGGGTACTTGTCGTCTATCGTCTTTTCGTTAAGTTTCCTAAAGTCGACGACCAAGCGCCATTTCTGTTTTCCGGAGGCATCAGCCTTTTTTGGGACAACCCAAATAGGAGAGCTCCAAGCAGATTCCGATGGTCTTATTATTCCTTGCTCGAGCATCTTTTCTATTTGACATTTAACTTCATCGCGGTGGATAAAAGGGTATCTATAGCTTTTTGTATAAACTGGAATTTCATCTGTGGTTTTGATACTGTGCTTTATCTGATTAGTGAATGTAAGGGCTTCGCCTTCTAAGTAGAAGACATCTGAATACTTTGAACATAATGTTAATAAATTTTGTTTTTCCTCCTCATTGAGATGATCTGTGCGCAACCGTGAGATAACATTTTCAACGCAATTTGTAATATGTTCGGAGGTTGTGCAATCAACATTGAATACAGATGCTTGCGTAGCTTGATCTAAAGATAAAATTATATCGTTTTTAGTCGGGTTCATTACCTCAACTATACCGCGGCTGTTCTCTACAGTAGTTAGGCAGTTCACTATAATACAATTGCAAAATGTTTGTTCATCTACTATTACATCGCCATCCGGGGCGTTAATTGGTAATCTAATCAATTTAGAACTTTCAGCCGGGATAATTTCTTCGTAAAGATTTAGATTACGGGAATTGTACATATGTATGGGATTAACAGCTGATTCGGTAATCAATTGTAAATTCTTTAAGTCTAATTTGGCCTCCCATCTAGTTAATAAATCCATACCTATCAAACCATCAAAGTGATTATGAAATTTATATATAAATAATTTTATTTTTTCATCGTTATTAAATTCTGTAAAACACGGCAAAGTTACGGAATAATAATTTCTACTAGTTGCATGAACATTGGTCACCTCGAATGGGTCGTAATCAAGAGGAATATCAGAAAAGTAACTTTCTACAGCTTCTGGACTTATAAACGACTGGTTTGCACCAGTGTCTATTAGAAGGTTCAGAGGTGGGTTTGAAATACTAATATACGGAAGCTGTCTTTGCGTTTGCAAGTTAACTTCTATCTTGAGCTTTTTGACGTACTGGCTCTCTGAAAATCCTGACTAGTTGAGGGTCGTGGTTCCTCAACAGATTTGGCGTCAAGGTCTTCAGTCGTCTGTATCTGTTCATTATAGTCACAGGGATAGTCATAGTAATTGTTATAATCATTAGTGTCGTCACCGTAGTAATTAGGTTCATAGTCATAGTAGTTGTAGTAGTCATGGAAATCATCGTAAGTTGAGAAGTCATTAACATTAACGTCACGCATTTTAAAATAGTTAGTAGGAGGAGGATTACCCTGTTTCATCCAATTCCAACCGCTAGGTGGTAATGGTTTGGTTACAAAATGACTAACACCACTCATTGGCTTAGGGCCTTGAGACGGTGGTGGCTGATTTCTGAACGGCATTCTAAAACCTTGGTTCTGAGTGTTATAATTTGGTGGTGGTGCAGAAAACATTTGCTGGGTACGCGACGGCATCCGTGGTTGGTTCATGGGAAATCTAAAATTATTATACGTTGGTGGCGGTGGTAACGCTCGTGGCACCATAGGGTTGAAAGTGAACGGCTTTGGTATGGGCGCTGGATTAGTAGGCATACGGAAAGCAGGCAAATTATTAGGGGTCAAGGGTGCAATAAAATTAATAGGCTTATGACTAGTGTGAGGTATACCTATAGGTTGCATTGGTTTAGGCAAACCACCGTTTCTTTGTTGTAAGTACATTACGTTAAGTTCTTCTTGAACAAACTCTAGAGCCTTTTCTATCGTTTCCGGCCTCATACAACGTATACGGGACCCAAGCGGTTCCTTAAGACCTCGCACAAACGTTTGCATGGTTAATTTTTTGTATAAGTCGCGTTTTGCCTCTACTGTGGTTTGAATGTGCTCGTGTAACGTGACGTATGTCATTATAGTGCTGAATAAAGTCTGGCACTTATCGTAAAACTCCTGAGGGGAGCTATTTCCTTGACTTTGCAATGAAAGGTCGTTGTATAAGGTGGTCTCATCTCTCTGATCGGAAAAGTTATTTATAAGTACGTTACGTATCCCATGCCAGTTTTCAGGGATTCCGTTTGAGTTAATAGTCAATGCGGCAGGTCCTGTGATTTTATTAAGGATACCGCTTATTAAGGATAAATTGGCAAGTTCATTTTCCGGGCCCTCAATCACATAACTACCAACTAACTTATCGCAAATTCTAATAAATCTTGTTAATATGTGAGGGTTTCCGTCAAATTCCGGGACGAGGCGGAGGGCCTTAAAAATAGTATCCGGATCGTGTGGCATTTTTTCTAACGAGCTCACGTCCGATTCCGTATCTGAATATGGTCCTAACTCTCTATAATTATCTATTGTGATGTCCCTTCCGAACCGCTTATATAAAACAGCCTTCTGGGACCTCGAGTGCTTAGGGTGGAAAATTTTGGAAATTAGTAATAGGACTTAGGGCTAAAGGAAGCAACACTAGATATAAATTCAGAGTGTACTTACATAAACATCTCGTTCTCTCTGAGCGGATTCGATTTCTGGAATACCGGCGGCGGCGTAGTTACGTTATTCGGATCTCCGGTACAACTTAAGAGTGAATCAAAGCGCGGCGCGAACCCGATTTTGTGATCCCGAAGCTAACGCGATGACCCGGAGAATCCTACCGACTGCGCCAGTTATAATCGCCACAGCCGGATTACTCAAAAAAAACTAAATTTATTATAACTTATTTAATGTTACAAGAAAAATATAAAATTATAATTATTTTAAGGAAACGAATTGACTTGATCGATGCTAGATACGAAGTGTCGGTTTCACGTAGTCACGTAGGCCAGCAGCGGCTTGCACGAGGCACTCGCATGTTGCAGCCTCAGCGATTCCGTAGTTGTTGCGAAAATCAGGTCGATCGCGTGGAAATGACGTCTATGAACTTCGTGTCAGCGATCTGCATAGAGGCGCGCGGTGTAACAAGCGGTGTACGTGAAAAACTAAGAAACAAATAATACAAATACAGTTATAATTAACAAAAGAATACAGGTTTTAAAAATATTTAACATAAGTCAAAAGTTCAAAACAGTTTATGATTTGATAGAGAGTATATTTCATACAGAACTGCAACAAAACCGACTATGGGTGTAGAGAAATCGTTTTATCTACCTCATCTTTAATGATCTGCCATCCCCTCAAAGATAATTACGTTATTTACGTTTGAAATAAGTAACTAAATACTATATACATGATTATAAGGACAAACGAGATTTGTACTTACATCAAAAGAAAAAAATACATGAAAAGGTCCAAGTCCTTTGCCGCAGAGACGAGTTGATTTATTTTTCGTTAATAAAAAAAGTCTTTTGGTATAAAAACTTATAAACAGAAGTTTTTTTTCCGTTTAGCATTCTATAAGAACAAACTCACTTGTCGCCGCGGAAGCCGCCAGTGAGGTTTGAAATTTCTTTGAAATTCGTATTCTAATTTAAAATGACGTGAAAAGTTAGTTTTTTCTTAGGGTCGCCGCACACGGGCCACCGGCCACAACCACAAAACGCCGCCACCGGCATATTTCCCGTAATTTTCATACATTATAAGGACTTACCGCACACGGTTAACGCCGGTGACCGCCACACGCTACAAATCGTCGTTGCTCGCTTCTTGTGGCTCGCACCGGCCACTAATGCGCCGATACAAAACGCCGCCACACGCCACTCGCACGATTCTCCAGCTTCAAACCTTCTTCGTCAGAGTCCATTATGTTCCGGCACGCATGTGTTAAAAAGAAGTAACAGCCACCGACGGCAAGTGTCGACCACCGGTCACAAGTGGCTGTCGCGCCCTTCAGCTACCTTTGTAGCGGCTTCTAGCTTCTCGTGGCGGCGTTTGTGGCAGTCGCGTGTGGCCCGTGTACGGCGACACTACGTGTCGGCTACTAAAGTGGCTGAAGCGCGCGACAGCGGCCGACTAAGGTAAGGGAGAGAGGAGTGGGGAATCGCGCGAGTGCCATGTGGCGGCGTTTTGTATCGGCGCATTAAGTGGCCGTTGCGGGCCACAAGAAGCTAGCAACGACGATTTGTAGCGTGTGGCGGCCACCGGCGTACTGTGTGTGGCGAGTCCATACAAAATGTATGAAAACTACAAGAAATATATCGGTGGCGGCGTTTTGTGGTTGTGGTCGGTGGCCCGTGTGCGGCGACACTTACAGAATGGTACTGCTGTTCCGTCAGCAGATCTCTGTGGATTATAAAGCCAGGAACCCGCTGAGTTTGTCGCTGTGTGATAGTTATTTTATATATTATTGCAGAATGTGGTATAGGAGAATGCTCGGATGGCTGCAAAGAAGGCGCTACGTGTGATTGCAACCCAAGGGACACGGACTTTTGTAAGTTTTATTAACAACTCAATGAGCCTAATCGATATTCTAATATGATTTTCTCAATTTAATAACACTGTTTTAACCGGTTTAATATTCTTTTATACTTCAGTGGATCCTTTATAATATATAGGAGCGGAACGTAGAGATATGTACTATAAAAGTATTTAAAACGCATTTAAAGCCAGTTGGAACCAATAACTTTATATGCCAGATTATTATATTCATGATCTGTAAAACCTAATTTGTAAGTATTTTATCTGGCTTGAGTGCTAATTCATGCTCACAGGTTTTTAATTTTAAAAGTAAATAATATTTGAAAATTGTTATCAGGCAAAACCCCTCTTACATACATATAAATATTTTAATCATAAAAAAAAACAAAAAAAAATGCAATATTATTTTATTATTTTCTATCTTTGACTTTCAGCCACGGCACGTTTCGAGACAAGACTGCAAATAATGGACCAACCCAATATCAACATATCGCAAGAAATCAGTAAACAGGTAAGAATAACTTCTACTTTGTTTAAACTAAAATCATTGTGTGATTTGGTGTCTCTTGAATGAAACATAGAGTAAGTAACCACTTAGAATGAAACTTCGTTGAAACAACACATAATCTACGAAAAAACAAAAAAAGACGGTGAAAAATTCAAAATAGTTATTCATGCAACTGTTGTATAATGATTGGTATTTAAATAAGAATGCGGGTTTATCACAGGATGCGCAGCCGAGTGTGATAATAGTATCACATGAGTGTTTCATTACCTAATTATGAACAGTTGCATACAAGACTTTATGTACACCCATGATTTGAATCTTCTATAAAAGACTCTGAAACCACGGTGCGTTCCAAGAACTTAAAATTTAAAATCCATCAAAGTTTCGGCGCTTTGGTAGTGAAATGCGTGTGAATGACAATGTTCTTTATTTGAAATTCATAATACCACGCATCGAGCAGTGAACATTATAGCTGTCTGATGAGTAAGCCCTTAGAGTGGAAGGGATTTAAAAAGCGAAACCCCCAAACGGGTGTTACAAAGTTTTTTCTTTATTATGAAATTGGACTTTTTAATGTTTGCAATAAGCTATTTCAGAATCTTTAATAGAGGTTTTACCTCGTCACACTGTCAGTCGATGAAGGTTTTAATGATTTTTCAGAACAACATAACCTTTGGTTAATTTTTGTAATTATTTTTCTTAAAACCGTTTTTTTCTATTTAAGAAAGATTCTTAAGATCTTTATATTGTTTTTTTTTATGGCAACACTATACGTGTGTCTCTATTTTTAACAGCAAACTTCTGCCAGTAAAGTATTATTTAAATTATGAAATAATATTTTAGTCAACTTTTATGTCATTCAGCTACATCGAATTTGCATTACACTTTTAATACCAATCTCATTTTTTGCAAACTTTTTTAAATAAATAAATATTTCTAACACACACCAATTAGCCTAGCCCCAAAGTAAGCACTGAAAGGCTTGTGTTATGGGATACTAGAGTAACGGATAGAATACATAATAATATACAGTACATATATAAGTATATTTATATAGAAATACATATTAAACATCCCATGACTGGAGTACAAATGCTCGGATTCATCACACAAACATCTGCCCCCACCGGGATTCGAACCCGGGACCTCTCGAGTCGGTGACACCATGAAACCCGGCGTACAAACCACTCGACCACGGAGGTCGTCAAACAGGTTTTTTTTGTGTTACGTTACAGAAATTATTGAGGTTTTTTGGAGTTTTTTTTAATTAATCTGTTTATCTAAAGGCTTAAACTCACTTGCTGCTTCAAGTCGTGACTTAATGGCGTCATAAACGAGGGCTCAGTATGAATTGTTGGGTGTTAACGACACTCTTTGTTGGCCGCAGATGCGATCAATGGCTTACACAAACAGAGTAAGGGTAAATTCATAAAATTCATTTTATATTATTATATTTTATCATAATATTTATGAAATTTTAGTGTGAGAAACTTTGTAGGAAAATATTTTAGATTATACTTAGAGTTCACACAAACAATTTTTTACTTAGCTCTTCTCAAGTTTAGTACTTAACGCTCAGGTTTCCTCTAATAAAAGGAAACCTGACTTAGAATAATAACGCGTTATCATATAAGCTTATTAATTTATATTAAAACCTAATAGTAAGAATAAAATCTAGAACAATAGTGACTGTCTTAACTTTAAAAAGCATTTGCGTCTTCAGACGTTTTTTATTCAAATGTCAGTCTCGTTTAGTAAAGTGTTCTGAGTACTTACGTGTAAAATACGAAAATCTCTCCTGTCAAGCTCTTAAATCTACAATGTGAGACTTAAGGCACTTGTCGCACCGCCGACGATGAACGAAAAGCGAGTAGAGCTAGAAACTAGAAAGTAGTTAGCAAGCAGCGGGAACCGAGTGTGTCATTCCGATATTTTTATCGCTGGTCTAGCTGGTAAGCGAGTGTGTGAGGAATATGGGTGATTACTCGCGCCACTTGCTCGCGAAGACAAACCTGAGCAAAAATTCACGCGCGCGCGAAACAAGCGAGCGTCGTTGAGCCAGTATCGCAGAGCGAGTATTAACTTTGATGGCTTTTGGCACTCAGCGATAACTAGAGGCGGCAGTGTGAACAGCCAGCGATCAACTATTAATATATGCTTTTGAAGAATATTTTTTTTTATATAGCCAGGTAGGCAAATGACTCTACCCCACCTGATGTTAAGTGGTGATAAAGTCCAAACGCGTAGATAGCTGGTACAGCAGTCATAAACCGCTACACCAACCGCTACACCAACACTTGCCGGCCTGCAAAAATGCTTCTTCATGCCACTCTTAAAGGACTCCAGATTATAGGAAGGAGAGAAGACGTGCGCGGGCAAAGAATTTACGAATAGTACGACAAAGTAATGAGTCACCAAATTTCTTTATTCGTGTAGGAATAGTGGCCACAGTGAGTCGGTGGCAACGTAGGCCAGCGCGCGTGGTCCTTTGTATGTATGTACATCTGCTGTTCGTTTCTTGAGCGAGAAAATAGCCGATAATTAAATCGCTTCCTCGCCAGCGTTGGAATAACTGCCTTATAACACATAAGTAAATTAATGTACGAGCCTATACTGATACCACATGAGTAAAGACACGACGAACAGTGTACGTTTCGACAGCTGACACGTCTCTGCATTTCATAGAACTTGAATAGTAAAAAGGAATTCTAAATATCAAAAATATTTACCTATTTTTATATCTGTCTAAATATTAACCAACATATTGTATTTATTTTATAAATCAACTTTCATTTTTATATTACTGATAAGGACAGTTGTAAATATAATTCAAAATATCGAAATCATTTACCAGATGTAGCTGTACTTACCTATCTCAAAATTATATAAAATTCAGTATAATAAAATAAAAAAGATTAGGTATAACCGACGGACGCGGAGATTAACAAATTACTTACAATGGATCTTTCAGTAACAAAAGTTTTCATCCAATGGTTACGTCTTAAATTAAATACTTATTCTTCAATTTAGAAACTTTCGCTAAAGATTCAATATCTTTATTAAATTACAATGAATTCAGAATCTTTGTTTTATAATAAAGTATCATTCATATTTTACCGATAACATGGATTGTATTTAACATAAAAATGTACCTCATTTCGTTTCCATTAAACAGGTTCAAAATTATGTAGCAAGCATACTTGCTTTAAGCGATCCATATTTTAATATCATATAATTTCTCAACTTTTGAATACCTACTTACTTAATAAATCTTACTCAATATGATAAGAAGATAAGATAGCAAGAAGGTATTATTTTATATTCTACAAGCCCTCACCACATACTTAAATTCAAAAGAATAAAGTTCTAGTTTGTGTATTTTAATTTTATCACGTTAAATGAATCCAGATACGTTAAATGCTGTTAACCCCATTTGATTTAATTTTATTGGTAATCCTATGAAAATTATTATCAGCGGCGATCACAATGCCTAAGTACACACAGCAGAATCCATTAAGCTATCTAATAGCTAATTATCATTTATACTTAATAGTCACTTTGGATAACATTAGGGTTTTTATCTAAGTTTTATGTCCTTTTATTTTCCAATGAACAAACTCGACCTCATTAAATTATTTTAATAGCGCACCAACGAACGAAGCCGAGGCTCTAAGTCGCCTTGATAGGATGCTTCGCTAAAACTTTATTACTATTGTTTTCAGATAACGAGCTATTTAAGAGCGTCTAATATCACTATGGAGGATGAAATTGAAATCTTAAACATAAGGTAAGGGAATCTAATTTGGTTCGAGGAAAAGTTATGCTTCCATAACAGATGTATTTCATTGCATTGCAGATAAAGTGCTAAGTGTTAACAGGCTGTTGTAATTTTAAAAGCATTTGAAGAGAAGAGTTAATATAAAAGATCAGTATGAAATTTGCAATAACAAAGCCAACGCCACACGAAAGCAATAGGTCACAGTTAAATCGGTCATGCACTGGTCCGATCAACCGATGCTATATTAATAAATTGTCTAATTTTTAATTCTATCTATACACCCTAAACATGAGATTTGCTTCTTCTAGTTATCGTCGAACCCTGCGTAGAAAGTACTACGGATATTTTTTCATACATATATATCTCTTCTGTCAACATTTTACTGTACCAATAGTATGTATGTTTCAGTTCAGTGGATATGAACGGCGCGCGCACGGTACTCCTGCGCATATGGGGTGCGCGTCGTGAGGCCGGCATACTACGCGCGGCTCTGGCTCGACTCGCTGCCACGCGTTCTCGCACCGATCGCTTGCGGCTACTTCCGGCCACGTTACACTTCGATATGCAACCAGCGCTCAGCTTACCGGTCAGTACACATTGGGGTTGCCTACATACTATGCGCGGCTCTGGATTCACTCGCCGCCACTCCTTCCGGCTACTTCCGGCCACGTTACACTTCGATATGCAGCCAGCGCTCAGCTTACCGGTCAGTACACATTGGGGTTGCCTGCATACTATGCGCGGCTTTGGATTCACTCGCCGCCACTCCTTCCGGCTACTTCCGGCCACGTTACACTTCGATATGCAGCCAGCGCTCAGCTTACCGGTCAGTACACATTGGGGTTTCCTGCATACTATGCGTGGCTCTGGATTCACTCGCCGCCACTCCTTCCGGCTACTTCCGGCCACGTTACACTTCGATATGCAGCCAGCGCTCAGCTTACCGGTCAGTACACATTGGGGTTGCCTGCATACTATGCGCGGCTCTGGTTTCCCTCGCCGCCACTCCTCCGCCTATTATTATCTAACTTGCAACCAATTTGCGACCAGTTGCTAAAGAATTTGAAGATTTTGAAATTTGTATCTGAACTGTTTCGCAATAGTCTTATAATAAAAAATATAATTTCTTAAGAAACATTAGGAGATATTTGAAGTTATTGCACATTTTTCAAATTAATTTTTCTACCATGGCGTTTGATTAAAAATTGCTAGCACTCTGCGAACGTACGCTATCCATTACCGACGCTCGCTAGAACACATATCAAACAATTAAAGTCCACACTCATCAGCAGAGGCGGGTCAGGAAAAATGGCATTACCCCTTACCCCCCCAGGATAAAGTTCCCGGTTATTGATTGAAGCAGTTACTCGATCCGACTTCTGCGGACTGAACATGTCCGGTTAATGTCCGATTTTATCGAGCAGAGTTTTCAATTTTGTCCAAGACTTTGGGACGATCTTTGTTTGCGACTGCTTTCCGATCCCCTTTATGGATGGCCTCGTTAATTTTATCATGTCAACATATAGCGATATTAATCCGATATTCCTATTATGAAGGCTCTTCGATATGGGAAATCTTTTGTAGTAGGTAGTAATAATAAAATAATGTAATAGGAAATAAACCAATGAAAATAGGGAGTAAAAATGGGAGTCTTGTTACGAGTAATGAGCAAACGCAAAAATAAAAAAATATTTTATTGGGTTTAGACAGAACGAAATTAAAAATCAAACGGAAAAATAAATTGACAAGGGCTGATTTTTCCTGCTTTTCAGCTCCCACCATTTTACAGGTAGTCACTTTTACTTTATCTGAGTAAGCCGGGTGTCACCAACTTTTGCGATTGAAGACCGTTGACAACCAAACAAAGAACCTACACAGTGATAAATAAATTTGAAATTTATAGGAACATACATTATATTTCCCAAAACAATAAAACGTGCTTGACCAGGTGTTGAATTTTAAACCAAATAACAATTTTCTTTAGTTTAAGAATCAAACAGTTTTATGTTTAAAATAAGAATTTAATAAACAACAATATAACGTTAATAATATAAGAAATTGCAAGCAAGTATACAATGAAAGAGGAGAAAAAAAAAATTTAAGCTAAAATAATGCAAACTGGACAAAATATAAGAAATCCCAATAAATTTAGATAACAAAATTGATTATAATGAGACAGCAAAAGACGCTTATTCGATATAATGTTTACTTACATAGATACACAGAAATAATGAGTCTTATTGAATTGTTACCTCATACCTATTATAGTAATAATAATTCTTATCTCATTGAATTGTAACTGAACGAAAAGAAATTGGTCTCTTAGGTCCCTACGTTCGGCCAGGTAAGAAGATATATAAGAAAAATGGGGCCATTTGTTAACCACGCCTTATTGATTGAAACAGTTATTGCTATCGACATCTCTGACGGCTGAATGCTTTCTGAAGGCACCGCCCTATTTGTCGACTGCCTGCCTTTGTTATTTTAAATCTAACGTGATCGGTACAATATCGATATATTTATAAGCTGGGACGCAGAAATGTAACCGCTGTCAGCTGCCATCTATATCTATACATATAATAAAATGGTAGGAAATTCAAAATTGTACATTGAATATTTTTTTAAAAGAATAATTGGGGTGTCATCTACAATCTATACCGAAGCCAAAAATTTGGTTTGTAGATTTTTTGTCTGCTTGTCTGTTTGTCTGTATGTATGTCCGGGATAAACTCAAAAGTACTGCATACTTTACTTCAAATTTGACACGAATATTATTAAGAAGTGGGGTCAACATATAGGCTACATATTATCACGCTATCACCTACGGGGAACGAGCAGTGAACCCCTACTGGTCAAAAAGTATGTGCTAATAACTAACTCCACGCGTACGAAGTCGAGGGCGGCCGCTAGTTTACAATAAAACTATTATCTATTTATACAAAATGCATCTTTACTATTTATTGTTAAAAAAATAGTAAGATACAAAACATGTATATGTGAGCAAAGGAGGGCTTATCTCTAAGAGAATTCTCTTCCAGCCAACCAAGGTTTAGTGAGAGAAAAATGTAAGCGGGTGAAGAGATGTGCACTTGGTACTTGTAGATATACCTAATCTAAGACTACATACATAAATATATATTTATACGTATATACACAAATACTTACTGTAGGAGTGTCCCTCTACATAATGATATTAGAATGAAGGAAGAAAAACAACTGATACTGTTGAATGCGTGACGAGCATTGATTTATTATGAAAATCATTTTTTATTACAACGACGTATTATTAACTTAAATACATTACATGTCTACATTTTTTGTAGTAGTAAAGTACAAGATTAAATATTTAAATAACAAAATGACAAATGCGATGTCGTGTTTGGCTTTTATAGTGATTTTGATACCAAAATCTTGATATTTTAGAAGTTGGCATAACTTTCATATTCTACCAATCTCACAAAATCCATAAATATGTCACGAATGCTCCAATAAAAAATATTTCGTCACTAAATAATTATAATCACCACATAGTATTTGTTAAGGGATGGCACTGGGCGAATTCTATTTCCTAGTAATATTATAAATGTGAAAGTTTGTATGTTTGTGAAACACAACTGAACGGATTTGGATGAAATTTGGAAAGCATATATTGAGACCGTGATTGAGACCACATTGAGACATAAAATACTTTTTACCCGAAAAACAAATAGCTTCCTGGGGATTCTCAATAGAGCTTGGTATTTAGAGTTTAGAGCTTGGAGCTGAAAGCTTAAACCTCCTTAATTTAAATACGTTACATCAAAAGGCAAGTAACGTTTTCCTAACATAAAAAATAAGCTTATTACAAAACCCGTCTATATTAATTTAATCCACTTTTTTGGACTATCAATTAGAACAAAGGAACCTATAAAATGACCGGAACGCCACATTGTCATATGGACGTAAATTGTATCCGTTTTTATATTTAATTTAAGAGCTTCTATAAAATAAATAGTGCAGAATCAAAATAGATGCAAACATAAAATAGTACAGCAGGTAATGTACATATAAAGCGGGCTCGAGCAACGCATAGACACCGCTCACGGACACGATATCTCGGACCTGTTGGGACCACTGCGAGCACGAGTTCTATCCACATGAAGCACGCGTCTGTGAACTTCTTTCTATAAACTCAACATTAAAAGCTGAATTGACGTTTCTTTTTATTGGTAATATAACAATACAATTAAATTTTAAATGTTTTAGTTATTATTGGTTTATATTTCTGTTCTTTTGTTTTATTCTTGTCAATTAATCAAACAACTGGATACGAGCGCCACTACCACGATAGTTTATTTTGTGCATAAGCCAATATTTACAATCCTAGCGCGACCGCCGAGCTTAGGCCTGGATAGTGAAGCACATACATAAGATTACATTCTGTACTATCTTTTTTGTGACGCAAACCTGGTTAGGTTCGAATTATTATAAATAAGGTCAAATGCTAATCGAACTCTCACACCGACGGTTCCTGTGCGGAAAATATCTATCTACCTAAAATACAATTGCTAACCTATAGGTTAGGTTTGGTTACTAATTGTATTTTCGAGGATCATTTCAATATGAGCCATTTAAATGCTAAGCGAACTTCTTTGCTTCTTATACTTCTTTGCAAAACAAGAGCAATGAAAAAATCTCGTGCTGTTTCTAAGCAAACATTATAACAGAAGCTATTTTTAACCAACTTCAAAAAAGGACGAGCATGTATTCGACTGTATATATATATATTTTATGTACCTGTGTTCACCGATTTCTCCGTCAATTTCCAAAATTCTTTTCTTATTCGAAAGAGTGCACTTCCGTGATAGTCCATTGGAACCAAGTCAGGATCTAATGGTGGAATCCGGGGAAATCGAGGGAAACCTTCAAATTTCAAAGGCACGAACGTTGTTTTTTTATGCACGTTCACCGATTTCTCCATCAATTGTGTTATTGTTTACTTGGACGATGAATTTTCACTAAAATCGATGAAATAAAAAAAACAACAAAACAAAAAACTGACTTCAAAATCGAAAATGGAACTTAAAACTAAAAAATAATATCAGGTTCATGATTTGGAAGTCGGATGGGGTCAAGATTGAAACTTTAAATAGATTTTCATTTCTGATCGGTAATAATGTGATCGCGCAACGTGATCTTCGCTCGTGCAGAAATCTCACACTACAAATTCCCGTTAATCATTCTGGAGCCCAATTCTCGCGGCGTAGATATATATCGAATAAACTGGCTTTTAACGAAGGAAAACCATTTTGCCCTATTCTCACTATGTCGCAATAGATATTCATGTACGGATGATCAGTAGACATGCATCGAGTGGTAAAGAGCCTTCGATATTTAAATATCTATGGCTCTTGGCTTGTCAATCTTGTCACTTTCACTTTTTTCCCCTATTATTTATAGTGTTGTCGTGTGTCATTGCCAATTATTGTTACATAAAGATGTTGTTAACTGCCTTCTAAAATAATTAGTTCATAAAGAAGTAGGTAAACAATATAAAGTAACGATGGATGAGTTGAGTCATGTGCAAAGGCGCCGCCGTTGTGAGAGCAGAGAGAACACCATAGAAATGAGGGGCATTGACTTCATAAAAAACAATTGTTTAAACAAAAATTTAGTTAGTAATCTTTTACGTGACAAATAATAGTGACAAATAAAGTTATGAAATGACGTTTTCTTATTGACGTTTCATTATACTTGACGTTGAAATATTATATACACATACAATTTAGATAAAATTAAGAATTCCTATACCTACTCAAAAAAAATATACTCATATTTAATATAAAATAGCATTCATAAAATATGAAATATAATTTTTTTGCTTGTAAAATACTGTTTTAATTTATTATAATTTTGTATCGACTATGATGTTAATTTAATCGAGAAAAACGGAACGCATTCGTCAGTGAAAGGAATGTCTATTAAAAATCCCACAGGAACCTACAAATTTTCCTAGATAAAAAAGTATCCATAAACTTTAGGCATGCCAAATTCATCAAAATCCGTTTAGTAGGATTACTTGGCCATGTGTTCTATTAGTTTAGGGATTCTATATTTTTTTATCAAAACCTCTCCGACCGAAGAATACGGAAGGGATACAACCTCATCAATGTAATTGTCGCGTTCCCCTCGTATTTATTATATATCCCTTTTCATCACGACCAAAATCTAATCTTTGATGACCCTGCTCTGTTACCGGAAGCAAAGTAATGTATGAATACCTAACACATACAATAAGAAACGGCAACAAAAAAAATGGGGCAATGTGAATAGAAGGGTCACGTCGTAATAAGAGTACCTATAATGAATACCCTTCCTCGTTAATTAAGGATTCTTTATCTAAATAAAACTAGTTATAACGGGTTAATGTACGAACTTTATTTATTTATTGACGTTTCGCAGCCTTTTCAGGTCTGCATCGTCAGAATAATGATTTTTTATTTACTTTGTCGAGCCACCTTCCAAAGACTTTTATTGAGCGTTCGGATATTCCATTGGAAGATTTTTAAAACTTTATTGTCTTAAAAATCTTCCAATGGAATATCCGAACTTATACTTTAATGAACTTGACGTGCATTAACCCGTTAAAACTAGTTTTATTTAATGAGTGATGTGCGTGAAAACCTAAGAAACAGATTCTTTATCTAGTATTTCATTGTTTAAAAGATATAAGCAACAGTAGAATGTGTATTAATTAGGTACGCAGGGCCGGATTTGTGGGTAGGGCGGCTGTGGCCTCAGAGCCCTCACAAGAGGGTAACAGAGGGGAATGCAAATCGTTCGTAGCCCCGGGTGCCAGATTTTGATAAACGCCCTCGTTAGGGGTCTCCACTCCTTTAAATCTAGCCCTGATTAGGTAAGGGACCTGTCTATTTTTAAGATTTGTAATTCATGCAAAATATCGCAAAATAAACGCTTTCATAAAGAGGATTTGGTATGGTGTTCAAATATTTCTTATATTGAACTTCATTTTAAACAAACCTTGCAAAGGACATTTGTTTTTTTTTGATGTATTATATATAGATATTACAACGCCTGGCTTGTTTGATAAATCAAGGAGCAAATTCATAAATAAGGCTATTGTTGATATTGGGATCCTATCATATGTATATTTCATATTAATTATATTAAATATGCCATTAAAGACCAGCTGTGTGAATAATAAATAAGGTACCTAGGTTTTAATTATAATGTAACTAAGTAAACAGCTCTATTGTATTTATCTTATGATGTGGCAAGTTTATAACTTTTTCAGCTGTAAAACTCCACATAATGTGATGATATGCATCATAATCCTAATTCATCTAACAACTTTGATGAGTACATAGACGAAATGAAATATTGTAGGCAAGTAGAAGGAAAGTTTACAAAAGTGTTATTAATTTACATTAGAATTCGTTTCAAATTTTTATGAGACAGCGCCATCTATCAACAAAGCCTCGAATGTAGTTTGAGAGTGTGTCGTTACACGACCTGTTGCTCAATTTCCGCAGCGTCACTGCAGAGCGCGCCACTTACGGTCAATCATTTTTCTCTCCTCCCCCATCATCAACATTTATGATATTGATTTATTACCTGAGCACTAATTAGGCACCCCGCGCATCCCCTGCGTCCCCCTCGCGCATCCCTCTCGCTAGAGATGCGTCTGAATATATGCTCTGTGATTGGTCGCGCCAATGTTGAGTTGGAACCCAAGAGGTCCCAGGTAGTCTGGACTATTTATAGCCTGTATTGATTTAGTCGGGCAGATAAATAGGACGCGTTCTTGTTTTCAGGCATTAGTCGTGAACCAGCGGCCGGGAGTATGGGTGGGATCCGAGTTCATCTTGAGCTGTATGGCTTATGGCTCTCCGAACATCACATTCAGATGGTACAAAGACGGAGTGAGGGTAAACTTCGAAGGCACAACAAGGTGAGCAATTATTCTAGTTAAGTTTTTTTTTAATAATATTTCTATTTATTTCTTTTATGCGACCGCTATTTGTGTGTAAAACTATAAAATGTATAAAACAATACCTACCATTTGGAATACGGCATGTAAAGGTTTTAACATTGGTCAAGAATTCGTGAATATCCTCAAATACAGACCATAACAAAACTTTTTCGTTAAACTTCATTTATGACGACATTGACTTGATTTTAAAATACTTTCCTAAAAGCTAAGCGGCATTGAATTGTGTACTACTTTAATTAAATATTCTACTAAGCGTTAAGCAATCTGCGCAGCCAAATTTCAAAAAGCTAACTGATTTTATTTAAAAGTAAACTGTGTTTACTAATATTGCGTGTATGCCAGATGTTTTAATTTCTGTACTATAAATCCCTGTAAATGTGTTTTTTATTTTATTTAATTTAATTGTTATACTAGCGTGAGTAGTGACTCTTTGTTAACATAGCGTTCATCAGTCACCTAGCAGACAGTTACTAAACGCACCCAGTTACGTGGCAGTTATTTCAAATCTCTCACGAACGATAATTATAGTTACTTGATATCTTTTAACTAGCTAGGGTAGTGCCAGGTAGTGACTCTTTGTTAACATAGCGTCTATGCGCAAAACTGTCTGCGCAGTCACCTAGCAGACTGTAACTAACCACACCCATTTACGTAGCAGTTATTTCAAATCTCTCGCAATCGATTATAGGTACTTAATATCTTATAACTAGTGAGAGTATTGCTAGGTAAGAGCTCTTTTTAACATAGCGTCCACGCGCATAACCGTCTGGGTAGTCACCTAACAAATTGTTATATAGTTAACTAACCACGCCCATTATCATGGCAGTTATTTTCCAATGTTGATCTATTCCTCTCCGTTGTGGAAGTTGTTCTCCTGTTTTTTTTTCAATGAAATTAAATGTTAACTTGATTTTTGGTCTTCAGAGATATATGGACACGTACAGTAGCAGAAGATGCTCTTGGACGCCGCATGTCGGTACTGGGAGTATCGGAAGCCCAGCGACCAGACAGTGGGAAGTGGTCCTGTTCAGCTGACGATGTAGGCAGAAGAAGATGCAGGGCTTTAAGACTAGACATTTTGAGACCACCTGATATACGCCTCGTGCCTTCTACACTGACTGTGAATAAGGTGAAAAATCGCACACAGTTCTGTACCTAAACATATTTCATTAACGGTTTTGTAAATAAACATTTATTTCCAGGGGGATAACGTGAGCATCACGTGCTTAGCTGGTGCGGGAAGAGCCCATGGCGTGCTGGGGTTTAGTTGGACACGAGAAAAGAATCTCCTGAAGTTGGCACCAGGTCGAGAAGTTTGGGAAGATCTGTATCCCGCAGGAAGTGTTTTGAAACTCTTTACGGTCCAAGTAGGTTTCATGATATAACTAGTTTTTTTTTTAAGAATATAGTGGTTGAATTTTTTTGTTTTTACTTACTTTTTCTGGTTCTAGAAATCTACTGAATTTCGTTGTCAAGTTTCATCAGTGGCTGGAACGAACGCACAAAGCGTATCAATGTGGGCTCTGGGTCCAACAGATGATTCGTGTGAGCCCAGCGCATCTCATGGTCTTCGCTGGCCGAGAACTGCACCAGGAGCTCATGCTTCTGCGTCTTGCCCACCTGGACATACCGGGGAAACTACTAGGTAATACCAGATTTTATAATACCAGATTTTACGAAGCAAATGCGGGAGTCTAGAAAGACACACAATTATTACTTTGTGCATAGTAACAAAAGCATCATCTTTCAGGTTTTGCGAGCCAAAAACTGTTCAGCATGGAGTCAAATGGAAATTACCAGATTTTTCTGGATGCATAGCAGACTCGCTACAGGATATTTACGAACAAGTAAGACTTGAAACTAACAATTGGACTGAAATATAAGTTAATGAATGAAGACGTTTAAACGTTACACGGTATTGCTTTCTTTTCAGTTCACACGTATATCCTACGGATATTCCTGGGCTAACGTATCGCATGTTGCTCGTCAGTACGGATCGGTTCTCCGCTCCCTGCCAATGCACCCTGGAGAAGGAACACTTCCACTGAAACACTCTCGGAATATGCTGCAGTACCTTCTGTCTCCTGTCGGGAAGCCTAAGGACAGATACGATAGCGTTGAGCACTTCTTGAAGATCTATGACACGTTGCTGAAGCATCCAGACGCATTTCTGGATGAAGAGGTTAATATCAAGAAGATTATAATAATAATAATAATACTCTTTTTAGAAAAAAAATGATGATAATCTTTGATGTATGCAACCCAATCACAGTGCAAAAGATTATGTTAAGAAAGTTTGTAGATTGGATTATTGACCAAAAAACTCTTTCTTGCTTCGAAAGGCAAATTAAGTCGTTATTCCCGGCAGCTTCTAAGTAGTATTAGTACTCACCAATCCATAAAATCTAACGTAGTGCTTGATGGCCTGTTCTTCCACAGACCTACTGTTCGGTATCTATGCATCACTCACTCCCTTTCAAGTTTCTTATTAGAGAAAATGAGTTCAAAACTTTTTATTGGTTTATAGAAAGTGTACGACCTACAAAACGCGGTAGTAGACACTGCTGGAATGAGATCCAACGAGGACGTACGCCTTCAAGAAATCACCGTGAAGACAAAGCCGGTATTGGACGAGCACGCGGCCCACTTCGACCTGCCCAGCATTCTGGAATGGCCCACCGCTGGACCGCAATGGACCCTCTCCTCCGTGGGCGTGGAACTGGTGGGCCGGACCGGGAACGCGACTATTGTCACGGTGCTGTACCACAATTTGGCAGCGAGACTGCCGTCTCTGAGGAGATCTATAGAATTTAGGTAAGACATGAAAACTGATGGAGTTATGTTATATCTCATAAAGCTAATGCCTACTGTGTTATGTAATAGGCAGACTAGGTAAAATAAACGAAATTGAATTTAATCTGTCAGTTACATAATCAAAAAATAATGGCCATGTATTTTTTCTTTAGTCAACCAAAAAATTACAAATATAAAGCGTGTCAAAGTTTGGGGAGCGACATTTCAAATCAATATATCTCTGTAATGTTATGATTATGTGAATAAATAAAAAATAAGTGTCCAATACTTTTTGATAATCTACCTGATGGACGAAGAAAAAAATTACGAAGAGGCGGCAACGCAGATTCTTTGAGATATAAACTTTAAATAACACTGCAGCTAAATAACTCTACTCGTTAATGATGTGTTCAGCAGTGAGCATCTATGGTTTGGTTTGGTAATCTCCACGAGGTAAAGGTTGAGATTGCCAACGAGGAATACCTATAACGCTATACCACCACACCTATATAGATGCGCTTATATTTGGCGAATTCAAAGCTCGAGTATGTATGACGTAAAAGCTACTATAAAAGTAAGAAATACAAACTTGTTCAGCGATTCAGAATTCGATATCTTTAAAAATATAAAGAAAGTAGGGAGGTACTCATAATTTAATTTATTATTATAATTTTAGCAATTCTCAATTAATTTACTACTTTAATATTATTTCTTTTTCATTATATAATTACTTATTTTAAGTTGATATTTGTTTCTCATTATATTTATTTCAATTTTCCCATCTACAACGATGGTTGTAGCCAGTCCCCTTACAGGAACGGGCGGGAGACAGAATACGTGTTCGCGTCGCAGCAAGTGCAGCTGTCAGCGAGCGGCGCAGGAGTCGACAGAAACTTACAGCACACTGTGACGCTGCTGTTTACGCATGTCAAGAACTACAGCGCAGTCGGTAAGTAACAGTCATAGACATTAAGAATATACCGACGGACATTCGTATCTTATGAAATCGAAAACAAATGAATTCAGGACGGCTGATTTCAACGGACCGTGACGTAACCATAGTCAACACCGGCGCGCCCATAGCCCATAACCCTAGAGCACTGAAAAGAAGCGAGGAGCTGTACTGTTAATGTTGATTTTCAATATATCGTGATCATCACCATTGTCCAACTCCCAGAACACAGAAAGAAGTCTTGTTTCTGTTTATATATCATTGCAATAATTTTACATCTGTGCTATAAATAGTTGTTGTTATATACTCTATAAACTGTAAGATATTATTACTAAACTTTTAAACAAAAGGAAAATTATAACGGTTACTTGCCTTGCACTACAAGGAAACATTAGTAAATGAGATATTTTTGTGCGGGTAGCAGTAGAAGTTTGCAGTACAGGCACAGTATAAATTTGCGGCTGTTTTATAAACTTTTGTTGTTCCCCGTACACGGTCAAGATGCTTAATCCTTTGTGATCAAGAAGAAAGTTACAAAATACCCTCACATTACAAGGACAAAGAATCATCGGAATACACTCACGAATATACTCACCGCAACTTTTAGAAATAATGCTGTTGCCTTATAATACTTCAATTAAAGTTGCAACTGTGTAAAGTTTGATTGTTTTGCAACACAGGCTATTTATTTGCGACTGTGTTGTAAACTTTTGTTGCTCCTGCATACATTTCGAGTTCAACCACATTCTATAAACCAACAATAAAATTTACTAATATTGTCTTCACAATACAAAAAATAGAATAAATTATTGTTTTGTCCGAATATTTTAGTAATAGTTTGCAACACAGAGGCAATTTTTATTAAAATTGTGCTGCAAACTTTTTGTTGCTTTCTGTGAACAATTATCGAGAAGACAGCTATATATTGATTTAGTTTCACTGCAGATACTTGCTCTTATGAGAGTGTTCGTACAAAATTTTTAGACCAACTTATATTGCACTACTGCTACGTTAACTATAGGTAAATTTAGTACATCTTGATTTGAACTTAAGTCCTGAGAATACAGCGTACGTACTTTAAAGACTTTACCAGAAAAAAAATAGTAACTTTGACGACCTTTATAGCCGAGTGGTTACGCCGGGTTTCATTGTGTCGCCAACTCCCGGGTCCGATTCCCGGTGGGGGCAGATGTTTGTGTGATGAATACGATCATTTATACTCCAGTCATGGATGTTTAATATGTATTTCTAAATAAATATATTTATATATGTACAGTATATGTATTCTATCCGTTACGATATTATCCCGTAACACAAGCCTTACAGTGCTTATTTCGGGGCTAGGCTAATTGGTGTCAGTGTTGAAAAATATTTATTTTTATTTATTTCTTCAACAGTTTTCGTAAATATAACAACTCAAAGAAAATATGTAGATAAGTAATATCAATTAACCATGTAATGCAAATTTTGTATGCTAAAGCATACAGAAGACTAAAGTCTTCTTAAGCTTGTGTTTGATGCCTATCTAGCTTTAAAGCCTTTCTGTAAAGCTTTACCTAATGTTTTTTTTATGTTTATCGACAAAATATTTAAAATGTTAAGCTATAAATATAATTAACATACAAAATCAATCTGCAAATAAAAATTGTAACTGTAATACTTTTGTTGTAAAAACTTCTGGCTGCCTTAAACTGAAACAAAAGAGAAACAAAATTTTGTGCGAATAGTAGCAGAACTTTGAAACATAGGCTTAACTAATTTTGCTACTGTGTAATAAACTTTTATTTTTCCCCGTATATAACCTGCGAATTACGTGCAACTGCATCCTTTTTTTATGGTCAAGAGGAAAACATCATGGTTCCTCTTACTAAAACAAGAGAGAAGCATATTTTGTGTGGGAAGCAGCAGAAGTTTGCAACACAGGCAATAAATACATTTGCGACTGTGTTATAAACTTTTTTTGTTCCCCGTACACAACCTACGAACTAAAACGGAAAGTTATCAAGAATCTTTTGTGCGAGTAGCAGCAGAAGTTTGCAACACAGGCAATAATAAATTTGCGACTGTGTTATAAACTTTTGTTGTCCCCCGTACACAGCCTACATAGTGCAACTTCACCCTATTCTTATGATCAAGAGGAAAACGTCGTGGTTCCGCTTACTAAACCAAGAGAAAAGCAATATTTTGTGCGGGTAGCACCAGAAGTTTGCAACACAGGCAATAATAAATTTGCGACTGTGTTATAAACTTTCGTTGTCCCCCGTACACAGTCAGCATGGTGCAACATCATCCTATTTTTATGGTCAAGAGGAGAACATCAAGGTTCCTTCTACTAAAACAAGAGAGAAGCATATTTTGTGTGAGAAGCAGCAGAAGTTTGCAACACAGGCAATAAATAAATTTGCGACTGTGTTATAAACTTTTTTTGTTCCCCGTACAAAACCTACAAACTAAAACGGCAAGTTGTCAAGAATCTTTTGTGTGAGTAGCAGTATAAGTTTGCAACACAGGCTATAATAAATTTGCAACTATCTTATAAACTTTTGTTGTCCTCCGTACACCGTCTCTATGCTGCAACTTTATCCTATTTTCATGGTCAAGAGGAAAACGTCGTGGTTCCGTTTACTACAACAAGAGAAAATATTTAGCAATATTTTGTGCGAGTAGCACCAGAAGTTTGCAACACAGGCAATAATAAATTTGCGACTGTGTTATAAACTTTTGTCGTCCCTCGTACACAGTCTACATGGTGAACTTCATCCTACTACATGGTGCAACTTCATCCTATTTTCATAGTCAAGAGGAAAACATCGTGGTTCCGCTTACGAAAACAAGAGAAAAGCAATATTTTGTGCGGGTAGCACCAGAAGTTTGCAACACAGGCAATAATAAATTTGCGACTGTGTTATAAACTTTCGTTGTCCCCCGTACACAGTCAACATGGTGCAACATCATCCTATTTTTATGGTCAAGAGGAGAACATCAAGGTTCCTTCTACTAAAACAAGAGAGAAGCGTATTTTGTGTGAGAAGCAGCAGAAGTTTGCAACACAGGCAATAAATAAAGGACATCGACGAAATCGGCCCTAGCATGCCCAAAAGAATGTCCTTCACTATTATCTTTCTATTATTTTTTTAATATATTAGCAATTAATCATAGTAAACGGACAATCTGTTTAAAAAAATTAAAAATTAAAGTTCTGTTACTAGATACTACAGTCTATTCATCCAACTTGGCACTCCTTTTTATTGAAAAAACAGCATTAAAAATCAACTGATAACTGGATTCCAAAGGTTTCAGTCTATAATAACGATTTATTTTAATAGTTTATTGGCTTCGTTAATATTTTATTATTAAATGGTTGATTCTGTTAAAAAGTTGTGCCAAGATTGTTTACCTTAATAAATGCATTAGAGGCGACCATAGGTATTTATCAATAGAAAAATAGAGATACCTTAGTTAATAATACTTATTACTAGTATTATATTTATAAAAAGATTATTTCTGAAATTATGTAAAGATAGTTTATACTCCCATCCCATGTAATATCTGTTTATTTTTATGAAAATCATAATGATAACCAGGTACATACCTAATTACCGATAGTAAAATATAGAAACAGGTAAATGGAAAGACTGAACATTTCATTTGAAAAGAAATCTATTATTACTACAGGTAAGGTATAGGTATCGTAGGTGCCAACTGACAACACTCATTAATCAATATGAATATAAGCATTTATTATTTTTATTATTAATTGCATTTTATGTTCATTTAATGCATATTATTTAAGTGCTTACATAGAGGTAAACACTAAATCTATTCAGAATATATAAAGTGTACATCTTTTACGATTAATTAGTATAATAATTATAACCTCAAAATCAAATACATTCTGTAGTAGGCCACGGTTCCTCAAGTTGTCCGTATCTCAACAAATGCCTAATTAGAGTTTATGAATGATTCCGAACACAACTAGCATTTTCTCATTGCTGGGCGTTCTAGGGCATTCAATGTATGGGGAACGAGCAATGTCCTTTGCGACTGTGTTATAAACTTTTTTTGTTCCCCGTACAATACCTACAAACTAAAACGGCAAGTTGTCAAGAATCTTTTGTGTGAGTAGCAGTATAAGTTTGTAACACAGGCTATAATAAATTTGCAACTATCTTATAAACTTTTGTTGTCCCCCGTACACCGTCTCTTTGCTGCAACATTATCCTATTTTCATGGTCAAGAGAAAAACGTCGTGGTTCCATTTACTACGACAAGAGAAAAAGCAATATTTTTGTGCGAGTAGCACCAGAAGTTTGCATCACAGGCAATAATAAATTTGCGACTGTGTTATAAACTTTTGTTGTCCCTCGTACATAGTCTATATGGTGCAACTTCATCCTATTTTCATAGTCAAGAGGAAAACATCGTGGTTCCGCTTACTAAAACAAGAGAAAAGCAATATTTTGTGCGGGTAGCACCAGAAGTTTGCAACACAGGCAATAATAAATTTGCGACTGTGTTACAAACTTTTCTTGTTCTCCGTACACAGCCTACGAGACTATAGTTAAATTGGGTTTATTGTCAAAAGTAATATCGAGAAAAATAATCGAGATCTCTCACACTACAACAGATGAAATTTAAGATATTTGCGCGAGTAACAACAGAAGTTTGCAACACAGGTGTTACACCGTGTGCCTCTATGCAAATCGCTGATACGAAGTTCTTTTCCTTCATCGCACAATCCGCACATAACCTCGTTTTCGCAAAAACTAGGGAATCGCTGAGACTGCAACATGCAAGCGTTGCGTGGATGCCGTCGCTGGCCTTGAACTTGCGACTGTGTTATAAACTTTTGTTGTTCTCCGTAAATAGTCTCCGGAAAGAAGAAAGAAGGAAAATAATTCTGCTTTGAGATCAACAAATCTATGTTTATCGATTTTTAATAATACTTACCTGTGTGATTTTTTAAACCTTTTAATGTAAATTTTACATGTTACATCTAGTGTATTTAAGAAAATCATATAGCTCATATACTCCGTGATCATGGCGCTTGCAATAGTGCCGAAATATCGGAGACTCATAAAAAACAAGGTACATGGTAACAATTCCGTTAATAGCTATAATGTTAGTGACCATGATAGTTTAAAACAATATATCATATAGCATATTAGACATGAGTATTTTTTTATGTTTTTTCCAACACACACCAATTAGCCTAGTCCCAAAGTAAGCACTGCAAGGCTTGTGTTATGGGGATACTAGGGTAACGGATAGAATACATATACTGTACATATATAAATATATTTATATAGAAATACAGTATACCAAACATCCATGACGAGTACAAATTTTATTCATCACACAAACCTCTCGAGTAGGCGACACCACAAAACCCAGCGTACAAACCTCTCGGCCACGGGGGTCGTCACGTCAATTTGAGTTTTAAAGTGATCAACTTCCAACGAAGTTATATCATCATCATCAGCCTATTAATGTCCCCACTGCTGGGGTATTCGGCCTTCCCTATGGATGGAATAGGGAGTTTGGGCCATAACCCACCACGCGGGCCCAGTGCTGATTGGTGGGTGCTAACGACAGCAGATGCAGCCGAGACCAACGGCTTAACGTGCCTTCCGAAGCACGGAGGAGCTCGAGATAGTAAATTTTTTGGTCACCCAGCCAATGACCGACCGCTGCAAAAGTTGCTTAACTTCAACGATCGCAGCCGAACGCGCTAACCACTTGCGCCGTCGAGCTCCTCGAATCATCACAGTTATATACCCAATGGTAACAAGGAAGTTATAACTCTGTGCTTTTGCGTAGGTATTTGTGTAAGTTGTTTGAATTCAAACCTGGGGATTTCTTATATTTCTATTTAAGGTATTGGAACGAAGTTCCTTACGGCAGGCTTGGAGGGGATAGGGATTTTGCTGCGCGACCGAACTGAAAAAAATGTGATAGTAAAACCGTAAGAAAAAATCCGTAAAAAAAAGTGCGTGGAATAAAACCGTTAAAAGAGACGTGCGCAGGCGCGACAGTCGCAATAGTTTCAGCAATAGAATTTGATGACGAGACTGATTAATAAGAATTACTTATAATAATAATATTAATAATAATTATAAACTTTTTCTGTAATTATTTTTATTTCTATTTTTCTATTTCTATGTAATTTTATGTTGTCAAACAAAAATAAAGAGACATATTTTGTTATTTTAGTTGATAATTTGAATTACGATGTTTTTTTATTTTAAGTAATTTATTATTTCCTAAAATAGTGAATTTCCTAAATACTTTCTTGTACTTAAATAAAAACTAATCAGCAAAATTTAAGAGAAAAATCAAGAAAACCTACATAAAATTGAGCACGATTTTTTTTGCAATTTGTGTCGATTCTACATTAGCCGAAGGAACTTCGTTCCTACCTGGTGTCCCACGACACCACATCATTTTTTAAACTTATTTATCCATAATATATTATATCATATATCTATATAGCGGTTACTGCATCCATCCGGACAGCGGAAGGCGTAAATTCGAATTCAGCCTGACACCAGAAGGCCTACTACAAAAAACATAAACGGAAATCAGACACATCGTAATGCTCAAAATTTCGACCATGTTATACAGATTGGAATGACGAGTATCGGCACGTGGGCGACTCTTTCTTAGGCTTCGGATACCCCTAATACGTAATTAGCTAAACTATGCTCAGGCGTTATCATCCAAAGACGGCGTATCAAAATCAAACTTATGTACGAGTAAAAGAAAGTGAACGCGCGCAAACACTACTACAGCCGCCTTTGTCCAAATACATGTGTATACGGTCTATCGCATATACCCGAAGTTGTAGCAGGCCTTCTGCACCGAGTAGATTTTTTTCTAGTATTTTTTATGATATATATATAACACGAGGACGGTCGTTTTAGCATCAAAGCTGGCTTGCGGGCTACGCACGGAGGAGGAGCCGCGCGCTTGGAGCACGAAGGCGTGTGAGGTGCGGGTACCAGAATCAACGCACGTGGCATGCCGGTGCCGCGGCCTCGGCACCTATGCGTTGTTCACCATCGCCAGGTCGACTTTGGTCAGTTTAATAACGAATTCTTTATAACCACAAACTTAATGGTGTATCAATGTTTCTGAGCCTTGCGGGCTGCGCACGGAGAAGGAACTGCACGCCTGGAGCACGAAGCTTGACACTTACGCTAGGTCTACTTTGGTCAGTTTAATAACGTATTCTATATATCCACAAGCTTAAGGGTTCATGCCCACCACCACCACAGGATCTACGTCCGGTCGTCAGCCCTGTATAGAACACTATGAAGCTAATCACACGACACCGGCACTAGCAATAATACCCTAACCGCGGCTAGCGCCGGTGAATCAATGTCGCTGAATGCGGTTGTTAGTGTCGTTTCTAATTTCGCTGTGACCGACCAATCGCGATTACCAAAATATTTATCTCCAGCAACATCACCTTAAAATGTACATTCGGTGGTTCGGCTGTTAATTCCGGCTTTATCGTCAGTTATTAGTACCCATAAATGCTAGGGGTAGCATGAGCACCACGATATGATATATAGCTCGCTTTTATCACGCTCAGTTGTCAAATTACAATAGAGTTTGACTGCTAGACGCGATGAAAAACCTGATTTAATGTAAATTGTTATGCCCATGCTACAGGGACTGCGTGGTGTGCTATATAACCTGTTATCCCTGATAAAATATGATACTGATCATAACGGACAGGTCAAGTTAACATCATCAGAAGCCCAAGGACGAATTTTTGATAGCTCCGAAACGTATCGCATCATCGACATTTCTTTGAAAACTATGCAGCGCCGCTATCGGACATAAGAAAAAACTAGCTTTTTCCATACAAAGACGATGACGATATTTTATGGCGCAGTCAAAAAATCATGCTTGGGTCTCAGATATTAATTCTTTTGTTCCACATTCCTAATGTGTGCTATTGATTTCCAGACAGACGTAGAGAAGGACCTTCGTGGCGTGGTAAAGGTCACGGGCAGCCTGAGCGGTGCCATGTGCCTCGCGGCCGCTGCCCTGCAACTGCTCAGCTTAGTTCCGGGCAGGAAAGCAAGGTTGCCAGTGCTTCTGAAAGCTGCTACCGCTGGCACTCATTCTGCCGCCATGTTAGTTCTTCTCGAGTGCGACACGAGACAGGTATGCAACTAATGTAATTGACATTGGGCCCGATTCTGACAATGTTTAGAGAATCATGTCAGAACGCGAAGATAGATTTTGAACCATCAAAAAAATCATTATGCATATACGGTCTCTTCGTATAATAGATTTTCGATTTCTCGCATTAGAAAAGTTACAACCTTATCAAAGGGTGGCGTTCTAAATCCAAAAATTCTTCTTTGGCGTTGTTGTAGTGTTATACTGCTATAGCGGGCTACTGACTGACATCCCTGTCGCAGGGGCAATCTAGGGTGCAAGAGTGAGTATGACCCTTAATTGTCTCCTTATTTGTGATTTATAATTTTCTAAATTGTCCCTGCGGCAGGGGCGCGAGACCACCCTTAGTTCCTAGATTGTCCCTGTCGCCCCGCACGTTGCCGCGTGTGTAGCTTGATCGGGGCAATTTCTCAATCAGTTGGTTGGTAACTATCATATGGAGCGCATGTATTTCGATCAAGATGGCGGCAGATCATAATGAGCATGAAGTTTGGTATCGAGTGATAGAAGTATATGAAGACCGGCCCCACATGTGGGATAAAAAAACGCAAACATTATTTATTTACAATACATTGTTTTCTGTTGCCAATTCATCACCCAGTATTTCCGTTTTTGCGCTAACACCAAAGGAAGAGCCAAGGCCCTACCTACCGATCTTTTGATTTTTTAATAATACTGGGGCCATTATCAACACGTGTGTTAACTCAACTTATACCTGAACACTAAATAGCAGGCATGTGTAGAGACAAACCGATATTGCCCCGACCGCCGTGCGCCCTAGATTGGCCCTGCGGTAGGGATGTCAGTAGCCCGCTTATGCTAACTTTTTGGCGTAGATTAATTAGCAGCGAGCTCAACTATGCACAGGTTGCAATTTAGTGACATCCTGCGCATACCTTTATCACCTCTTCATTTCATTCCGTTTACTGCACCTAAACTTGCGCTTACTTGCGAATACGTCGGGTATCTGCCAGTTAGCGCATTAGCCTGCGATCGTTGAAGTTAAGCGACTTGCGCAGTGGTCGGTCATTGGATGGATGACCAAACATTTACTATCTCGAACTCCTCCGTGCTTCCGAAGGCACGTTAAACCATTGGTCCCGGTTGCATCTGCAGTCGTTAGCACCCACCAAACCACTTTGCCCGCGTGGTGGGTCATGGCCCAATCTCCCTATCCACCAATAGTGTAGGCCTGTGCCCTAGCAGTGGGGACATTAAGAGGCTGATGATGATGTATTTGCAGGAGGAAGCTTGCCCCGGAGCTTTGGGGTGGGTGTGCGCCGCCTGCTGGTGCGCGGGTTGCGCGGCGTTGTGCGCCCAACCGCTGCTCTTACAAGCGGAACTAGCGGGCCGGGCGCAGCGGGGACCCTCAGTCGGGATACTAGCTGGTATGAACCAGGGTTGTTGCGGATGCGTAAATACGGATGCGGATTATTAAAGATAACATCCGTGGATGCGAAGTCAAAAATATTTTTTTGACTTTTTGCGTCCTTTTCAGGTTGTGTCGTCAGAATTATTTTAAATGTTATATTTTTTTGCTGCCTGAAAAGGATGCGAAACCTCAAAAAGTAATAAAAGACAGCATTTTATTGTATGTACGATATTTCAATAGTATGTTCATAAATAAATGTTAATCCATTTAAATATGTTTTTTAATCATATGCATTTTGATAATAAAACTAAAACAGTTTCCAGTTTTACTTAAGCTAAGTTCAGATGGTCACGAGTCGACGCGCGACAGGAGTTCCGATGACAAGCGACAACACACGCTACAATCATCCATTTTTCGCTGTACCATACGTTTGCACGCAACAAATCGCGCGGATCATCTGAACAGGCCGATACTTGACCATAGAAACTCAATACGTGCGTCTAGATACGCATACCTGCGACGGGGCAGCGATGATGACGTGCAATCATCTGAACGGTCCTATGTCATGATTTAGACTCTTTACGCGCATTAGAATGTACGACCATCTAAACTTAGCCTCAATATAATTTTAAGCACTTGCCACTCTGGCTCCGCCAACTTTCTGCAGATGTCTTCACTTGTTAATATCAATCAGCATCCGTAAAAGCTCCGCATCAATTAATGCGGATGAAGATGTGTAAATAAATGCGAATATTCTCTCATAATCTCTAATCTCAGATCCCTAATAGTGCCGGCAGAGTATCAAAGACATAATCTCACGTGTTTCGTCAGAAATCCCTATGTGAGATACACATGAAAAGTTTTCCAAATGTCTTAAGGAAACAGCCGGCATATCCAATTAAGTTAACGAAGCTTAACCAAGTTCAAAACTTATTCAGGCACCCCCTGAAAGTACTTTTTCTAAAGGTTTTCTAAGCTATTGGTCCAGTCCCATCTGTAATGTAAATTCGTTCGTTATTACCCCACGATATGCAGTGGCCCCACATACAAAGGGATCTTACATACCTATGATTTCACAAATGATAGATACTAAACCATTTTTTTTTTATAATTTTGCCACGCCCACAAGGCTCATCCAACCTTTCTTATCTTTTCCGTGGTTCAGTTTTTGGCTATCATAATCAGTTTATGCAAAAGACTAAACAACGGAAAAGATAGCTTCGTCAGGTAAGTGTTGGATAAGCATTAAGCAAAGTGATGGCAGGCCGATCGCTTCGTCTCTTATAATTGTCTTCCCAGTTTTCCTTTTCCAGTTGGTCAGGGAATGCTCAGTCCATTCTCTTCTTTGTTAGACAGTAACATGACATGGTTATTCCAGGTGTGTGCACACTATCGTGGCTAACGGCGCGGCTGTGGGGCGGGGCGCCGTTGCAGGTGGGGGCGGCAGCGCAGGCGGTGTGTGCGGCGGGGTGCGCCCTGCTGGCGGCCCTGTGCCTCGCGCTCGCCACCTGCGCTGCTGCCAGGCTCCGGACTATCACACATAAAGTGCCCGCTGAGAGAAGGAACTATCTTAGAGACAGGTACGCTGTGGATGAGTAGAAAAGCACGTTGTTCCATGTGTGTGCACGCTGTAATGGTTGAGAAGAGTAATGAAAGGCTTCCCAAACAGCGTGGCGAGAGCGATACGCTACTGGCGGCAAATTGTACTAGTCCTGTGTCTTGCGCTCGTCGTATATAGGCGTCGGCGTCGTGACCAGGCTACGCACCATCTCGGGAACAGGTTCGTTGTTGATGAGTAGAAAGGCACATTGTTACTCCAGGTGTGAGAACGTTATTGCGGCTAACAGCTCGGCTGTGTGGCGGGACCCGCTGCCTGGTTGCGACGCAGACGGTATGCGTGACAGGGTGTGCCCTGCAGGCCGCTCTGTACCTCACGCAGTCCGGTTGCGCTTCCATCAGTCTGCGGATCATCATGCATGGAGTGCCTGCTGAGAGTCGGAACTATCTTAGAGACAGGTACATTGTGGATGAGTAGAAAGGCACATGGTTATTCCAGGGGTGAGGACGTCATCGTGGCTAACGGCTCAATTGTGGGAACGACGCCGGCAAGCAGGCGCTATCTCACACGAGACAGCTATGTTGATAATGAGTAAGTACTCAGAAAGGCACGCTGTAATGTTTGCCAATCAAACAGCTCTAGTCGTGGCGGGGACGATCTGCCACGAGCGTAGCTTTATACTAGTCCCGTATCTCGGGCTCGCATTGGCGCCGCGGCCAGGCTACGGACTATCTCAGAGGCAGGTACGTTGTCGATGAGAAGCTGTCTACTCATCAACAACGTACCTGTCTACTGTTGTTACTCCATGTGTGTGAACGTCATCGTGACTAACGGCTCGGCTGTAGGGCGGAACCCGCTGCCTGGTGGCGGCGCAGGTAGTGTGCGTGACAGGGTGCGCCCTGCTGACGGCCTCACGCACTCTAGCTGCGCATCCATCAGACAGCGGACCATCACGCATAATGTGCCCGCTGAGAGACGGAACTATCTCAAAGACTGAGTCAGCCTATTAATGTCTCCACAATCGCAGACCGAACACGTCAAGCAATTGTACGGTAAGTATCTAAATAAATATAAATGGTTTTACAAACAGTAACGTAGCAAAGCAATTTTTACTGGTTTTAGAATACATTTAACTCCTTACTGCAATCCAAACTATCGAACTAGGTAAATGAATGGTGTTAAGTTTTCTGCAATTTTGTGTTCATTATTTACGTTGGTACCTAGATTCTATGAGTTATTTTTTATACACAAAATTAATATTTTTTTCAGATGTCGAGTGATACGTCACACGCTTGTGCTACTGGTAACGACGTCGGGTGCGCAGGCAGCGGGCGTTATTTATGCGCAGCCTGGAGAAAGGAAAGTGGCACAAGTCGCCGCTCTATCAGTAGCTGCCATAGCTAATGTAAGCACCATCGTCATCAGCCTATTGATGTCCCCACTAGCATAGGTCTTCCCTAGGGATGGAATGGGGAGATTGGGCCGTGACTCACGACGCGAGCCCAGTGTGGGTTAGTAGCTGCTAACGACTGCAGATGCAGCCGGGAACAATGGCTTAATGTGCCTTCCGAAGCATGGAGGAGCTCGAGATAGTAAATTTTTGATCACCCATCCAATGACTGACCACTGCGAAAGTTGTTTAACCTTAACGATCGCAGCCGAACGCGCTAACCACACGCGCCTTCGAGCTCCTCGCTCTAGTTAGCTAGCTCTAGTTTACACAGCAGAAAAACTAATTTCAAAGTAGTGCTGAATAGATATCTTACGGTGGTTATTATGACCAGGGCGTAGCAATGTTGGTGTGCTACGTGGTACGAGATGAAGAATGCGTGCGCGCAGCACGACGCGCACTATCGCTCGCGTCCCGCGACTGGCAGGACACGCCCGCCGGGGACACCTCCTTAAGCCGTGAGTATTTTTGTTGCTATCTTTATGCATGCAAACGAGCGGATAATCCACCTGATGGAAAGTGGTCACTACCTCCCATGGATATTTGCAGCACCAAGGGTACTCATGCATTGCCGGCTGTGAATGAAAAGGTTACACTACCTTTTGAAGACCATCATTTGAAGAGCTGAAAGGAAAAACCACTGAGTGAAGTTCGGTCCAGATCTTACTGGAACGCAAGAGAAAGGAACGCGCGTATCGCATGGTGCTAGAACATCAAGCGTCCAGATGATGAGGGAGAAACTTCTCTCTGTGTAGTGAGTAGGATAGAAATAGATTATCATATTAGCCGTTTGACGCCCACTGCTGAGCATAGGCCTCCTAAGGATCTCCACATCGATCGATCCTACGCATTTGTATCCAGCGACTTCCCGCGACTTTCACTTATGCTATACGTGGTTCGGGTACGAAGAATGAGTGTGTGCAGCGCGGCGTACTATATCGCACGAGTCCCGCGACTGACAGGACACGCCCGCCGAGGACTCCTCTCTAAGTCATGAGTATAATTATGGTCACTGCCATCATCGTCATAATAGCAATCGTGCATTGCTCACTTCTGAGCACCTTCATTTGCAGTCACCTCCGCGAGGATTGCCACCGAAAAGAATTGCCAATAAAGAGTTTGGTTACTTCTTTTTCACCCAGATCTTTACGCCTGCTTTTTTAAACATCAATAATTTCAAATTGTGTCAGCATCAAGTCATTTTCTAAGCGGCTCTGGTTTCGATTTCTGGTCTCTTCATTCTTCATTGAGTTCCTAATCATCTTCATAGAGAAAACTATCTTCTACTATATTCGATTCAGTACGGGTGATTTTTGGTTGGTTTTCTGATATCCATAGCAAAGATTCACAACAGCATTAGTTCGCCATATAGTCTCATCATTTATTAACAGTAGCATTATTTCCTAAACAGTGTACATAAAGCAAGGAGGTGAAGTCGAGAGCCGCGGTGGAGTCGGCACGTTGGAGTCCTCGTCATCACCAGTATCGCCTTTAGCATCGTACTGGAGGGCACCTGAGCTTGAAAGCCCTACGAGAATGCACAGGTAGGTGCATGCAAATTGTTCTAGACCTTTCAAGAACGAAACTATTAAATCAATGATGAGGAAGTCCTTAACTCTAGTTTTAACGTGTTAAGCTATTACTAAATGATCTTTAGATAATTGTTAAATAATGTACTTGCTGATTGATGTCAAAAGTTTGAAATTTCTTCGCATTGACAAAGCTTGAAAATACTGCAAACCTGACTACTGTTACGCTACCTACTACCACCACCTATTTACCGTAAGGACTTTTCGAAGCTATACAAAATGCCGCGTGAAATTATAAACATTAATATTAGCTAAAGTAATGTTGTTCAGCAAGCAATCAGCTCAAGTGATATCTTGAGGCAATTATTTATTACCTTGAATAAACCGACGATATGAACAGATAATAACGTCTCATGGTTTTCCAGGAGACAATCAACACCAGACAGCCGAGCAGACATAGTCCGCTGCGTCGAATACAAAGACAACACCCTCAGTCCCCAATACGAGGCTCGACGCGTCACAACCACCCAAGCTGTATGCGACCTCATCCCCCGCGCCGCAGAACGAATCCCCTTAACCCACCCCCCGCTCTCTTGCCCCCCTCCCCTCGCCTGCCCAATAAACTTCCAGCCCTACCACCCGTCCTTTCACCCACCGAAAGACTGCTCCATCTGTGTCCAGTCCAACCCAGATATCTCCAAAATCCCCTCCCCACCTATAAAGAGCTGTCTCAAAAAGACCTCGAAGGACTTCTCCTCCAGCACATCCTTGCCCGAAGCCATAGAAACCCCAAAACCTAAGTCCGATATAGAACAAGTGAACCGCGAATGGAACAAAGCATACGATTCCCCCGATGCGGATAGGATGTTGCACAAAATATCAGATGATTTAGCGTTCCTCCTTAACACTTCCAGGGTAAATAAAAACGTTCTAGACCAAATAGAGGAGGCGCCGACTTAGAATTAATGGAGGAGTGTTTTAGAAGCGTAAGAAAACGAATAAAATGGAAACAGGGGTGCGTTATGCCAACGTTAGATAAATTGAAAGTGTAAATATGTACATTTTTAGTAAATTGTAGTTAATAAGTAGGTACTTTGTATGTAGTAGGTTTAATCGAGTTAATATGTTAGATAAGTGGAAATAATTTTTGTTTCCTTTGTGATATAATAATACGATTCGCTTTCTGTGGTCTGAGATCTTTAATAACACGACATTAACTACGAGCAGTTTGTTATTTTGGAATTATTAGCGGTTATACCTACCTGTTATGCTTTATGTTTCACCAGTCCAATTGGCGTTCTTAGTGTGCCATAACTTTCACGTACATAAACGATAAGAAACGATTTTCCTGATCATTTCTAAATATTGTAGGGAAAATACTAAAATGAAGTTTCCTTACTGCAGTTCATTGCACAACGGTATAATTATAAAAAAAACATTTACCACGAATATGTAGGTACGAGTATGACGGAACATCACAAAACGGCTTTACCAATTCAACTTCTTTTTTGTAATTTTAAAAAAAGATTTTTATGAAAGATATTGTAGGTAATATGTATTGAGGATGGTATTTTTGTACTTAAAGATATGGATAACGCAAATTTTTCTCATTGTCTTCATTATTAAATTGCCCCTGTCGTAGGGCCGAGCAAATCGCTTGTTTTAAAGAAAAGAGAATAGAAACGCTACTTTTTAAGAGTATTAAATTATAATTTTTGATTCCAAATTACTTAAATTATGAATCTTTTTTTACGTATCTTTAAGTATATTATACTTATCTATAGTTGAGTAGAAGAATTACAAAATACTAATTTTTCTTTTGTTACTTAACTATGTCAGTCTTTAGTATTCTGCTTTAGAAGACGATCAAAACTTTTTAACATTTTTATTACATAAATAAGTAGGTATACAGTTGTTTAAAAATTGGCTTTAGTTAGATACCTAAGTTATTCATTGCCAGTTTTTTTTTTAAACACTAGTCAAGTTTAATTCCCAGCGGTATAATTTATTGTGTGTATTTAGTTGTTATAGGCAAACTGTGTATTTTGTTTAATTAGAGGACTAGTCTAAGTATATATGCATTGCCAGCTCATTTATCACGTAGCACAAGAATGGGCAAACTACGGATCGCGGGTAGCGTTGCCAGGCGTCTGGATAAAGCCGGACATAGTTAGGCTTTTTGATTGAGTGTGAGTGAGACTGTCGTTAGCTTTTGTATATATTTTTTGTAGTTCTATTACTGAGCCACAAAATCCTAAATAATGAAGGGTGTCCGGACTTTTTACCCAAATGCCCGGCCAAATTGGCTGGTCGGCTATTAGGTTTTGTGACCTAGCAACCCTAACCGCGGGCCATTTCCGACCCTCGAAGGGATCAATACTGGCTTGCGACCATCAAAAAAAAACAAAGGAAAATCCACCATCCATTAATTACTCCTCCGACCAAAACAACCATTTTGACACATGTTCCGACAAGGACCACCCGCTGTCTAATCTAGTACTTACTTAGCAGCAAATTTAAAATGTTATTTTGATTCCTAAAATATTTATTATATGTATGTAGGTGACTTCGTCTGCGTGAAAAAAATTGGCTTCCCATGCAAATTTTCGACACCCTTGTATCCCCATTAATAGGGGTGATTTAATATGATAAATATCTACTGTCCTTTCCGAGTCAAAATTTTAAAATACTTGGCCCGCTATATATTTTGATAGTAAATATTGGCACGCAAAAGATAAAGATTACCCATCTCTGGTCGTAGCATAAACAAATTAAATAAATAAAAAACTTTTTTTAAGACAAGTATTTATTGCCTGTTAATTAAAAGAACTAAAAAGTTAATATGAATTTAAGTCTGACAAAAATATACCATTTTATAGGTACATTATATCCCATTTTTTAAATAAAAATGTGTTACACCCTTTTCATTTCTCTTGGCGACATGACGACACGGCCGACAAATACGCTTTTATTAAAAAAAAAACCGGTTAATAAATGATAGTGTCTCCTTTTATTTTATATAATCAAATAGTGTCACTAAAATGGCATTAGCAGCTGCCTAACCCTTCAAAATACTAAAAAAAACATTTTATTTAATGCAAATTTTAGATACTTACCTAACTATGTGATATTATTTTAGTGAAAGAATAATTTAAGTTGAATCCATTTTTTACCAATGTATATTATTGTTTATTTGCAATATTTTACCTAAGAACCTGTTTGTATCTTATTTTAAAGTAGTTGAATTTTTTTCAAAAGGTTTTATACAATAAAAAATCTTTCAACTGGTTATTAAACGGGTTTGTAAAAAACTACATTACTTAGTATCTCAGTCTTGTGACCATAGCAGACCCTGAAACCAATTATAAACGTCAAACCAAGCGGTACTCTGACCAAAACAAGATTTGTAATAAATATTCCTATCGTTTATTAACCTGTTGAAAAGTGTCATAAAAGATTTATTTAAAATTAATTATAAACCTTAACTCCTACCTTGTGTACGTACAAAATTGTTTATGTAAGAAACAAGTCTTCTTTCTTCTTTGAAAAAAATAAATTTAATAATTATGTTTTTTTGTTTGGAACAATAAAAACATAGCTACATATTCTGCCATTCTCGATATTTTGTAATCTTATGGTCGTATTATTTTTATTTACTATTGTTCTGTCTTTACTGTCCAGTATCAATGACATTGCACTAAATAATTCTAACTATGAGTACCTATAAATTCGAATCAGTTAATTCAAATCTTGCTTATCTATTTATTAAATTAATAATATAAACAAGTAAATATATCAGTGTCGAAATGGTCGAAAAATATGAACTTTCATGCTGTAAATTTTGAGCTTGTAATATTAAATATTTTAACATATTTAAAACAAATAATTTAAATTTCATTATTATTAATTCCACCATGAATGCATCCAATGTAAAGATTGGCAAAAGTAACAATAGAAACATTTTATTAACGTCCAACTGACGCGCATCTGCGTCGCAGTATTTTTCGAGTAAAGTTCTACTTAGTTGTGGTTTAAGAATTAATGATGTTTGAAATTGTTAGTAATAAGTACTCAGGAATTCAGATTCGGAATTTCGTGAGCCTAGCGCAGACGTTTCGTTTTTGTTTCGGTTCGGACAAAAACGAAACGTCTGCGCTAGGCTCACGAAATTCCGAATCTGAATTCCTGAGTACTTATTACTAACAATTTAGGTTTCTTTCATTTGGTAAAAATAAAGATTAGTGTGCATCTCGATGAACATTTTGACGGGCGAAGGACGTGCATTCAGGTCTCCGAATCTGAATTCCTGAACAGAAAACCGAATCAGGTAACCATACTTAAGCGCCATTTGACGTCTCTGAAGCCTCGAGTGTAGGTGTTACTCTCATGTGTGCGTCAAGCCCAAAGTTCCAAAATCGGACTAATAGATTAAATGTTATCTACCCAATTCGTTACCTAACCCATTAATTTATATAAGGTATAACTTTGATTTATTAATTGTGATTATTAGGATTTCGACCGCGACGATAGTAAGAATATCTATTAATGTAAATATTATATTAAAATACATGTAAATATGTTTCATATTCTGAATAAAAATTATATTTTACTTTAAATCGGGTACAATATTATATTTTTATTTACAATAAATTTTTTACTATTGAATTTATGCTTTTAATTAGTCACACTCATACTCTCTCTCCATAATTTGCAGATGCCGTGGTAAGTTACCTTTGCAAAGTTGTAGAAGGTCGGTGCCCTTAAATTAAACTGGGCCGCGGGCCACTGGGGCCGTATTATCAACTCTTAACGCCAGGCAAATTCCATTGTTAAAGCGAGACATCACTAGAGGATTCGATCTTGTTTATTTTATCAGATGAAAGTATAATTTCGTTTTGTTTTTTAAAGATTTAAAATAAAAAGTTGATTTTGATATGGTTTAGGGTCTTTTTGTTACCACTTTCTATTACCAATACAATCCCGGGACTATCCCGGGATCCCGGGTTTAACTGTGCATAATCCCGAAATCCCGGGATTAGAAAAATCGACCGAGATCGAATCCTCTAGGCATCACACAGCAGTATCCTACTTCAACACCTGTTTTTGTATCTCTTTCAGCGCTCCTAATACGACCCCACGTTGGGTTAACAAAAGGTTAGGTAATGTTGTAAATAACTGTAGTCAATGCCATAAGAGACAAAATTAAGTGCGGACGCGAGCTTAGAGTCATTTGAGAAATAGTTATTTAATACAACTATTGCTATCGCGCATTGGCAAGTACCGTGCGATAGGAACAACAGTAGTTAACGCTGAAAACTGGGTATAAAAACGCAAACGCAATTCGAGATTTGGCTCTCGAGTATTCCCTCCCCGAAAATTAGATATATGGAAATAGTTATTTATTATACAAGAGTGGAAAGTTCCTTTTTAACCGCGTGCTCGATTTGGATGACCGAGCAAGCGAAGGATTCTAAAGTTGAATCACGAGCGCAGCGAGTGATTCTAAATTAGAATCCTGAGCGTCAGCGAGGGAAACAAACGAGCACAAGGTGAAAAATCTTTCCACTCGAGTGCAATACGTAACTTTTCATCCCACCTCAGCGAGGAAATGACAAAATGAAAAAGAAAACAATTTATAATGACAAAATATTTAAGCAATAAAACGTGAAAAACTAGAATGGCGCGAAGCACGCAAATAAAACAAAGAAACCAAGAAGGTTCCAAATTTAAATTTTTTCACAATTTAAAAAGTTCTAATCATGAATTTGGCACCATAGAGGTTACATTAAATAGGTTTAATGACGTTTTGAATTTACAATTATATTGAGTACTCATTATATGTGATGTTCTAAATTCAAATCTACTTTGCCGCTCAAGCGAATAAAATAGAATTTTCCAGCCAGATTTCGAAGCGCAAAATTACACTTTCCGAGGTGGTGGGATGAAAATAAATTTTAACCATTTAATAATAAGTATGCTAGGCCTCTATGTCTTGCTTTTTTGTAAATGCTTATTAATCTCCACACTAGACGTCTTTAGTGGTGATAAACATTTGTTTATTTTTGGCATTATTGAGGGAATTCGTTATTCACGAAGGCAAAACGTTAGAGAGGCATCATACAGGAGCGTGATGGTGTGACAACATGCCATTGAAGAACAGACCTATTTCGCTGCGACTATTCGCGGCGCAGGTGGTTAGCGCGTTCCGCTGCGATCATTGAAGATAAGCAACTTTCGCAGTGGTCGGTCATTAGATCCAACCAATAGTAGATGGGTGACCAAAAATCTTCTATCTCGAGTTCCTCCGGGCTTCGGAAGGCACGTTAAGCCGTTGGTCCCGGCTACATCTGCAGTCGTTAGCACCCGCCAATCCGCACTGGGGGCCCGCGTGGTGGGTCATGGCCCAATCTCCCTATTCCATCCATAGGGAAGACTTGTGCCCTAGCAGTGGGGACATTAATATGGGCTGATGATGATGATGATGATGATCGTTACATCCAAGCGTTGAAGTCACAGTTGAAGTGTTTGAACGGTATTGCCATCATTGCAGTTCGTGTTCAAGATCTATCCAAGAGAGAGATCTATCCAACCACAGCTAGCCATGCGACAGTGAGATATGTGATTTCCCCGAAGCTGTTTACCGCTGTGTTGCAAGACATCTTTCAGCTTCTGAATTGGGCCGGAGTTTGTATCAACAATGGCGATATAGGTGTTCTCATCTTAATCTACCTATCTTGGTGATGAGTGATGTACTCATTGATCTTTGATTTCCGATATTATTATCGTCATAGCAGACATGTTGGAGGATCTCAACACAATGTCCAACGAGATCACAGAGCCTTTAAACGGGGCTATGAAATAAACACGAGTAAGACGAAAATTCTTTTCGGCCCACACGGAAATAATAATAATAATAAATCTATTCCTCACCATAATCCGTTGGGATAACAAAAGCAAAATGTTACAATACAAGTCGATACAAGATTATGGCAGGTTGATACCTGAACTAGGAAAGATCCTGTATCTCAGGTTATCAACCCTCCACCTCATTATTTTCGACCAATATTTGTGCAGTTATTTTGTATTAATAGTTGAGAATTCTGCACTCGAAATTTTTGACAAATTGGGTGCGTAACACGTAACTCCAATTGCGATTGCGACAAAGGTAAACTGCCGAATCTAACTCGTCTCTGGGTAGCGATCGGGGAACTTCGCGATGTCTTCTCGTCCAAAATACCTCAGTGCGTGTTGCCAGTGGTACCTATCGATTCTGGTATGATTTTTCAACCAAAAATTTTCGACAAGTGTATCCTTGTCATTATCTATACAGAGTGAAAAGGAGAGACTGATGTTAAATTTAGTTTAAGTTTAGGGAAACATGCCAGAATCAACAACAGTGAAGACATAAGGAGCTGAGACATGGTCTTTGACTATGGGCCCCATAAGAAGGCTCAAAGTCGCACAGCGAGCGAGGGAGAGAACTGTGCTTGGTGTTTCTCTACATGAACGAATCAGAAATAAGGAAATCTGTAGAATTAAAATAACCGACACAGCTCAACGGATCGCCAAACTGAAATAGCAATGGGCAGGACACTTAGTTCGGCGAACCGATGGACATTGTTGATGAATTTGATGGCGCTAATGGGTAGCGCGTTCGGCTGCGATCGTTGATGTTAAGCAACTTTCGCAGTGGTCGGTCATTGGATATGTGACCAAAAATAAATAATAAATAAATAAATATTTCCAACACTGTGAGTGTTGGAAAATTCCAATTAGCCTATCCCCAAAGTAAGCACTGTGGGGCTTGTGTTATGGGATGCTAGGGTAACGGATAGAATACATATACTGTACATATATAAGTATATTTATATAGAAATACATATTAAACATCCATGACTGGGCTACAAATGCTCGTATTCATCACACAAACATCTGCCCCCACCGGGATTCGAACCCGGACCACTCGAGTCAGCCACACCATGACACCCGGCGTACAAACAACTCGGCCACGTAGGTCGTCAAATGTACTTTATCGAGTTCCTCCGTGCTTGTCGTTGGTCCCGGCTGCATCTGCAGTCGATAGCACCCATCAATCCGCACTGGGTCCGCGTTGTGGGTCATGTCCCAATCTCCCTATCCATAGGGAAGGCCTGTACCCCAGAAGCGGGGACATTAATAGGCTGGTGATGATGATGGACGTTGTGGTTCCAAGGTGGTTCAAAGGCGACCTCGCACGGGGAAACGCAATTACGGTGGACCCCTCACTAAGTGAAATCGCGACTCCGAGCGAATCGAAAGGGCTCACAGGTTACAGAAAGCGCACGACCGTTGTGCGTGGAAATCCATAGAAGAGACCTAAGCGATATGTAATGATTTTGAAAACTAGAATCCAAAGAAGGTCATTCGACATACGTAATGACATAACAACCCTGGGCCCCTGGGAGGACTGCAAATTGTAAGTGGTCCTGCCAAGATTTAGAGACCTCCACACCTCTACATCCGATTCTAGGCAATGCTTATCATCTTACAAACGTGCCGTAATCCCGTAGTATCCATGTACCAACCGCATTGTACAACCAGTTGTGCCATAGGTACAAGCTTCGAAATTTTGTCCCCTGTGTGTATTTTGTATATAAAATAAAGTTGCCATTCTCGTGTTCTTTAAATTTGAAATAAATATTTTCCTTAAATCAGTTTTTCCAAATATGAAATAAAACACATGATCAACGTGTAATAAAATATTTTTATTAAAGCTCAACTAGCATAAATTAATAAAGGGGGATAATTTACAAAAATAAAAGCGTACACTATGCAAATCATACAAAACATAATAATTGTTCCTATCTAAAATGGACATTACACAGTAGATGCACTAAGTGTGAACACACACGAATACATACTTTATACATGGGTACTTTAAATTTACAATTATCAAATTAGTTATTTATATAATCGGTTATATAAGAATGGTCTTGAAGAAAACCTCTAAACGGGATATTTTGTTCTATACAATTTGATTGAATACAAACAAACATAATATAGCACCAACTATTTTAAACTGACAGTTCACATGGCTATTCTTATTTGCCATTTGAAATTTTGACAGCAGTATATCCTTC